GTTTTCACACTGAACTAAAGTTCCTAAGGTGTAAATTGGTCATTTCTTGATGTCTAAAGGTCAGGTTTTTTACTAATTATCACTGAAATGGCACTGAGCCTTTTTATTGAACTTAAAACAGAAACCTTACATTATAAAGCTATGGGGTCAGTATCTGTTGATACAACATGGAGGTAGAATGTCTCCGCAAGAATTGTAAGATGCATCTGGACACAAGGAGGATGCTATACAGATCAGTAAAAATCTGTCAGTCTAGAGAACTCAACTTCCAACTTTTGTATTGAATTCTCACTCAGTGAGGGTCAATTTACACACTTCCAAGCTGTCAATAAATAGGTAGGTAGGTAGATGATGCATGGACAGACAGACACACAAAAGATCGGGAAGGATATATAAAATGAATTTTTTAAACGATTTGACAGTAATTTGGGTAAAAGATACATTAATCTTGATACTACTTTTCCAGGCATGTTTGGTTTTGAAAATATGTCAAATATTAAAAAAAGCAAACAAAAACCAAAGTCACACTTGAAGTCCTTTTTTCCCATATACTAACATGTCAGTAAATATTGTTTGTATATATGTTGGAATATACATATATGCATGTGTCTGTGTGCACATGTGTCTGTATCTCAATTATCATTTCTTATCATCTCCATTACTATGATTCTCCAACTTTGACAAATTGCAAAACTTGATTCTCCTTGAATACTTTAATGTTTAAATATGTGCTATTAATTAATATTATCACCAAAATAGAAATTCATTTCCATACTTATTTTAGAGGTCCTGTGCTTCTTTGGAGTCTATAGCAAAGGTCTGTGTCTCCAGGTCACCTGGTGTCCAGCGGCCGCAGGTGTGACTATAAAGGAGGCGGAGCAGGAGGCGTCCTTCTGTCCTGGGTCAGTTTGGGAACTTTAAGGATTGAGAGTAACTGAAGATGTCAAAGCCTTTTTCAGTCCTTAAGCTCTGTGTTTGCTGGTTTTCCCTCCCCCAGGGCTGTATCACACCATTTCTACCCCACACACCAACTCCAAGATTTAACCCTCATCTTCACTATAAAACAAGCCTTTTCACTCGCTGCTTGTTTATATCGAAAATACTCATACTCGTGGATTACAGCTTTCTTATGTGCATAAAATTATTCATTTCTCAAATGAATATATTCTCAGATAAAAATACTACTGAAACCGTAATTTCAGGATTTCAGGCCTAGGCTCCCAGGCAAGAATGATCCCAGGTGGTGGTGGCAGCCCTGAGTCCCAGCCATGGTCTAGACCACCATGGGTTTGTGTCAGTCGAAGCCGCAGCAGGAACTTCGCAGACGCTTAGGCAAGCAAATGAAAAGAGGCAGATTTGTTTAGAGAAAGAAAAAGTTTATTAAAGAGAAAAGGAACAGATATAAAGTGGGTCTCCCAGGCACTTGGACCAGGCCAGGGAGGGGCAAAAAGCCAAAGTGGAGTGGAGTCCTGCCTCAGGGATTATGCACCCTCCCTAATTATTTTCATGCTCCACCAGACTCCTGGTGATTGGTTGGTTCTCAGTGGGCTCATCACTGCCTTAATGTCTCTGTGCCCAGAACTATGTCTCTGTGTCCCAGCCCTTAACTTAACATACTTTTCTTTATCATTCTTGTTCTGGAATGTCCTGTCACCCCTAGTCTTGGGGGTTCCCTTTGGAATTTGTTGCCCTTATCTTTGGAACCTGCTATAACTCTCCTGAAGTCCCTGCCTGCAGGGACTTGAAGCTGTCCCAGAAGCTGCCTAGTTATCCCTAACTTGCCCGAGGATACACTACTATATGAGTATCATCTCCATTAATTTTTCTGTTTTTTTTTAAGATTTATTTATTTTTATACAAGAGCTGCGGTAAAGGCCAGAGGCGCAGGAGGGTGAGAGGATTCACCAGAGACAAAGTGGGGAGCAGAACAGGCAGACTGACTGAAATTCACTGAGAGGAGCAGCGGGCATGACAGGAGAGGTCTTCATGCCATGTGGGTTTCTCCCTGGCCGGCCAGGTTTCAAATTGTGACATTTTGGAGGCTGTGGACAGCTTCTAAGCCCTGGGCTCAACACAGTGTGCCACCAGGGAGGCCCATCATTAATTTTTCTATCTAGACAGGTCTTTGTCATACACTGAGAGTTCTAATTTCCTTGTTTGTAAGAACTTACTTCATTTGCATTGTGAACTTATTGTGATTACCAAAGTCAGTTCTCCCTCTAATTTTAGCCCCATGAAAGCAGACAGCTCTTTAACTTTAACCCGTGTGCATTTTATTATTTACAGCTAAGTGCCTGATAAATGGCAGGAAAATTCCTTGTTGTGAATCAAAATCCAATACATTTTGTTCATTTTTTTTCCATTCAGTGGAGATTATGCATTTTCAAAAACTTTGTGACAACAAAGTTTAATCTTTCCTGACTTTGTAGAACTGTATTTAACCATTAACTTGTCTTCACAAAAGAATATTTTTTCTTTGATTTTGGAAATTTTATCTTCTTACCTTAACTGTTCATTGTTCTCATAGACATCATAATGAGACAAAAAGAGAAACTGGTATTATAAATAACCTATTGTGTATTTCACATAGAGTGACAAGATCTACTTTGAAAGTACTGGAAGATTAGAACATCTTAAAATTACTTAATACCTCTGTCCCAGTTTGGAAAGTTTTATTTACTATTTCAGCCCCAATGATGTTCCTTCAAATTCCTTATTTCTTTTGTATTATTGCCAATGCTACTAACATGATTTTATTCTATTTTACTGTACATATTATGAATTAAAATTAAAGGATAATGCATGGAATTTATTGAATAAAGATATCAATTTCTAGGAAAGTAAATATTTCCCATAGTTTGAAGTCATCACAAGGCAGAATCCTAGATGTTTCTATTTTCCTTTCCCATGTATTTATGTGATCTTAGTAAATTGTCTTCTTGCAGGTACAATAGCCATCATTTTGGCACTCTGCAGCAGTTATGAAGGAATACACTATATATGTGCATTTATTACCAGTTCCAGGATGTTCTAGAATTTGAAAGCTAGAAGAGAAAATAATTTCCATTAAATGCTAAATTTTTAGTATATAACATTTGTATTTTAAATCTATAATGTTATTACCAAGTTAAAAAGGCAGAAATGCCACTTTTCTAATTCTTCAACATTGGAAATGTTAAATATATGTCATCAAAATTTATTAATAAATCTTGAATTGATGGTACCAATTCCTTGAATTCTGAATATAAACTCCATGACCTCAGACATTGTCAGAGTATCTCAAAATTTCACATGGGTTTACAAATTGTCTTGGTACACTGTGTTAAATAATATGTATATATATGATATAACAAAATTATTCTAATCATGAATGATCAAAATTCAAAGTTCAGTTTCTTCAATGCCTATGATTTTAACACCAGAGTAAAACTGAAAAATCTTAAGTCAGGATGTCTGCAATAGGGTATAATTTGGAGTGGATATACAGGCACCTAATACTAAGACATTGGTTAGGTGATTATGCAGAATGATTGAATTGTTTAACATCTTCAACCCTAATATGTGACTAGTCTGACAGTGAGATGGTTAAGTACATGCACAATAATTATAGACAATTGCTATCACAATTCTAGGAAAGCTTTATAAAGATTTTGATCTTTCTAATTATAGTAGAAGGATTTTATTTTTAATAGTCAAACAATTAATTTTGGCTAATTTAATCACCAGTATTTGGAAATGTCTTCTTTCTACCCTCACTGTCAACTATTGATGGTCTGATTCACATAGGAAGAAGTCCTTAGAATAACCTGTTCCATGGTGAAAATATTTGCATGTTGAAGTATATAAAGGAGTACAATGGATCTCAAATTCTATTACATTGTAACTGTATGGAATTATTTGTCAGAATGCATTGTATGTGTCTACTTCTAAATAGCCTACTGCAATAATATGAGTTGATGTCCAGCAATCCTTGTGAAAATATATGTAGGAGGTTAAATAATGTCCCTTAATTTGTATGTAATGTCAGAACTTCAATATGTGATGTTGTCTATCTTTATGGACATAATTAAGTATCAAGATGAAATATTATTGGATTGGAGCTTAAATCCAATGATTTATTATTAGAAAGATGTGACCACAGAAAGAAGCAGAGGAAAAACAATGTGAAGTTGGAAGTGTATATTTGGATGACTCCAAGAATTACCATTTCCTTGGCTTAGATCATTTATGATCTTCCATTTTTCTTTGAGATTTACCATGTTTCCTTTACATATTAATATTTCTATATAAAGAAATATTTACATAGAATCAATTTCTATAGTACATACAGTACAACAAAATTGTTCATCATTAATTATGAGTTGTTATTTTCTCTAGATAATTTCAGCTCTTTCAAGAGAAAAGAAATTGCAAAAAACCATGTAAGTCTGCAAATAACTTCAGACTTCTGCTTTCTGAACTATATGAGTGAACAGATTTCTGTTGCTTTAAGCCACCCAGTGTGTGACTTATAATAAATACTAATATAAATGCATTTATGGAAGAAAAGTGTAAGAATTATTGGTTGAGTTTTAGAGAGGGGCTTCAAGATAATATCCTTGTGAGCACATTTCTTGGAGTGAAACACCATTAAATCTATAATTAAAATAGTCACTGACTTATACTCTTGTATACAAATTTATATTCAACAACTTTCAATAAATTGCTGAATTGTAATACCTCATAAGCAATCCAAATGACGTATGAATGTTAAATGTTTGTCCTACTACTGTAACATTTTATTTCTTTCGTTCCACTTATTGTATATTTTCCTGGTTGATTTCTGATGGGAGTATTAGTTACAGATCTGTCATCCGTCCATATTTAGATTTGAAATAAAATAGATTCTCTTTTGGAATTTTGAAACTGCAAGTGACTTACCCGCCTTTGGCAAAATCTGTACCATCGAACAAAAAACACTTTGATTGTTTGCTGTCGTAGTATAAACGGATAAAGAACTTTCATTCTTGAGAACTTTGCATCTTCACCAATTTCAACAAAAAATCCTGCAGAGAGAGGTAAATAAGTCTGAAAGAAGGATGTTACCAAAGAAACAGGAGCAAAGTAATTTAACTATCTTTCATGTATAACTTCCCTTTATACACTCTGTTCTAAATTAGGCACCAGAAAAAACAAAAAAAGAGAGAGAACATTTATTAAGCCATGTAATAGGGAGTGAAGCATGGCATAAGACTGGAAACACTGGGTCAATGAAGAACAGAAATTCTAACAGGGATTTTAATGAGTCATGGTAAGATCAGAATGTTTTTCAAGGGATTGTTTCTAAGTTAAAATCTCAGAAAGAAGGGCCTCCCTGGTGGCGCAAGGGGTTAAGATGCAACCTTTGAAGCTGTCTGCAGCCTCTCCATCATGAGTTTGATCCCCTGCAGGCCAGGGAGCTGTTGCCCACATGGCACATCAGACCTCTCCTGATTTGACCGCTGCTCCCCTCAGCAGTGTACTTCAGTCAGTCTGCCTGTCTGTTCTCCACTCTGTCTCTGGTGAATCCTCTCACCGCCCCGGACCCCCCACCCCCAGCTTCTCTGGCCTAAACCCAAGCTCTTGTATGCATAAATAAATAAATCTTTAAAAAAAAAACTCAGAAAGGAGGATGCATTCACCAAGAAGTAGACATTTGTGGTAAGAGGTGGAGAAGATAAAATGTGTCACAGACAAAATAAGCAATTTGAGAAACATAAAGGACATAAAGGAGCACAGGGTCCCTTATTATATAAAGAAGTTCATGGCCGTGAGCCCAGGGTAGGCTTTTCTAGAACAGGTGCTGGGAGGTGTGTAATGACAGAGGAGGCCAGATTAACATGTAGAAATCCAGTTGCTGGGACACAAATCAGCTTACAGATGTCATTTTTAGCTCCAGTGAATGGACCTCACCCACATAGGACACAAGCAAAGTACTCCAAATTGAGCATCAGAAAGCTACGACAGTCTAACTAAAGCTAAATTACTATGTTTTGCATGATTACTTCTAGTCATGCAAAACTTCTAAAACTAAAAAAACAAACAAATAAACAGATTATTTGTGCTTTCTCCTAAAAACTGAAAAAAGCCAGTTGTGTATATTTAGAGTTAACATTCAAAGTTATAGTCAAATTGTAAGGATTCCTGGTGACTGCAGTATAGAACATTTTCTAGAGGATTGAATCTTGAAAGACTGCTGTCATTTTTTAAATTTTCTGAAACAAACACAAAATTTTTAGGAAGCACATCTTGTCTTTACCATCTCATCTGTAGTATCCACTTTAATAAATGTTGACATTAAATTTGTGCAATAACCATCACATTCTTTCCAGAGATATTTGCTTTTTGAGAAATGATAGCAGTTTTGTCCAAGCTGGTGCCAGTCCTTTGAACAAGTAGGATATTTCCACTCTATTAAAAGAAATAGACTATACATGAGTCCCTACTATCAGTGCAAGTTTACAGAGAAAATCTAACCCTACAAACAGTTGTAGTTCTTCAGGAAAATAACTCATACAAAGTTATTGTTCTCTTCTGAAAATAATATCCTGACACAGAAACTTCCTAAATTACCTGTTTTATTTGCTTCCTTGTTGTAGGAGATATTTGCTGGATGTCCTTCTGCATTAAATGAGTTCTGATTGACTGAAGAGAATTTGGAGACTTCATTTTAACTCAAAGAGAAATATAGTTAGACAATCCCATGTGACAGATACTGTGCTCAAGAGGAAATATGAAAATGAATAATGAAAATACCACTTGCACTGAGTTCATTTGCCTGATGAGACCCTGCTAAGTTCACGTAATGGAAGGTGGCTTTGCTTGAAATACTCTTTCTCTCTTTTCATCAATACCTTTGTCTAATCTGTCTCACCCTAAAGTCCCCCCATTTTGTGTAAGCCCTTGGAGATCCATTCCGTTTGCCTGACTGGACACTGCCCAATTCCAATTCCTAATTCCATCCAACAGTTGATTTCAGTCATATATGCTTGCACATATACAGTTGTATGTTTCAGGCAAAACAGCTCAGTCAAAGTGAATTCTCTTTACTCTCAACAAAAAATGATGACTCAGAGACTTTGAAAGTTACCTGTTTCATTTGCTTCCTTGATGTAGCAGATATTTCCTTGATAAATTTTGCATTAAATAAGCACTAATAAACTGAAGAATATTTGGAAAGATCATTTTAAAAATAATTGGAGAATCCTATTGCATACACTGTATTACATAAAAAATAACTAATGAAACTTATTTGCCTTGAAGAAGTCAATGTAATAAAGACAAAAATATAAATTCAAACTCTATAAAAACATGAAAAGTCCATACATCAATTGATCACATAAGGAAATTCTGTTCACACAACAGCATGAACAAGATTTTCTGGTAAAGCAAAAATGAGAATAAATAGGCAGTAAGTAAGGGTCATGATATACTGTAAAACAAACAATAGATGATAAGTCTGTGAGGAAGCATCTTCAGACTTTACAGAGAATATTATGTTTTTTTTATTAAGCATGTCAAAAATATATTATCATCAACAGATGTCACTATTCAAGTAGAAAAATATGTATTTCTATTTTGCATAGTGACTTACACATTGTTAAGTATACAACAGATGAAAGAAGAGCCAGGCAAATGATCCCCAGAATCACTGCAATGATTTTCCACAAAGAAGATGGAGCAGGATGGTCTAGAGAAAAAGAACAATACACCTGGTGACATCTGCCTAAATGTTTGTCAAATTTGCATTTCTTGAATTTTAATTTTTCAGTGACTCCAACAATATCACTAAAATCAATTGCAGAGTAGGATTGGCAAAAACAGTTGGTTTGATCCAACCTGAATTTATCTTACTAAATGTCATTTCTTGCATTTCAAGCATTAAATTTGTGTAAGATGTGTAATCACCATGGCAAGCGTATTTATATTTGTGACTATTCCCTCCCTTTTCCTCTTCAACCCCAACACCAAGAGGATATTCTCTTCCCTTTTACTTTCCATCCTTATCCTATATCTAAAGACAGCTCTTCCCCTCCCATGTTTGACTTGTGATTTTTCTATCATTGCTGTTTTAAGCAGTCAGTGAATATTTTTAAAAAGTCAAAAGAAAACACAAAAAAATACTAATATACATAATAAAGAGGTAAGTTGAACTACTGGGTAGTAAAGAATAATGTACATGTTATTTAAATTAGTAAGAGATCTGGAATGAAGTTTTGAGAAAACATGTATCTTGTAAAAGAATTGGACAATGGAAAATGAAGACAGTTGTGAAAAAGATTACTATGATTTGTATATAAACGCTCCATTATACAAACATAAAATTGAGTCCTTTGCAAATTCTTTAGCTTCCTTCATTGTGCTATTTTAGACGTGTGTAGGTAACATTGGGCAATGTTTGATATTAAAGGAGTTCACTTAATTGCAATAAACTTGAGATCTTCCTCATGAAATGGGAACTATGGGGCCTCCCCTGGTGGCACTGGTGGTTGAGTGCAGCACTGTGAAGTTATCCTCAGCCTCAGCTGTGCCAGTTCGATCCCAGCTGGCTGGCAAGCATCCCACCTCTCCTGTCTCGCCCGCTGCTCCCCCAAGCAGTGTACTTCATCAGTCTGCCTGTTCTGTTCCCCGTTCTGTCTCTGGTGAATCCTCTCACTCTCTGGCAAATCTGGCCTGTACCCCGGTTCTTGTATAAATAAATAAATAAATCATAAAAAATATAAATGGGAACTATGATATTAAATTCATTCTAGCTTCCATAATGCTCTTTTATTAAGGGATGATAGTCATTTGGGTAGCTGAACATTCTTCTATCTTGAAGCCCTATTACAAACCAATAGATAAAGTAAAACATACACAAAGAGTCAGAACATGAGAGAAGGAAATGATGGAGTAGATATTTTTAAAAAGGGTTTTGAGACAGACTGTGCATGGCATGCAGGCATGAATTAGCCATCAGTGCAGCACTGAGGTAGAAAGCAAAGGACTGGAGTTGAGGCCACTTACTAGTTGCATGGACTGGACAGTTTACTTAAATTCTCCTTGTCATAGTTGCATCTGTAAAATAGTGATAATAGTGCCTAAAGTATGAGATTTGTTCAGAGAGTTAAACACATTAGTTTAAAAGCTTACAGGAGTCCTGATTTATGTAATGAACAATAAAGCATTAAATGTAAATGCCCTATAGGAGCAGGAGCTGTATATGCTGGATGTGGGAGCAGAGTTTGGATTTTTCTTTTCTTTTCTTTTTTAAAGATTTATTTATTTATGCATACAAGAACTGGGGTACAGGCCAGGGTACGGGGTTAGGGTGGGGGGGGCGGTGGTGGTGGTGTTAGGATTCATCAGAGACAGAGTGGGGAAAGGAACAGGCAGACTGACTGAAATACACTACTGAGGGGAGCAGGGGTGAGACAGGAGAGGTCTGCTGTGCCAGTTCCATCCCCTGGCCGCCCAGGGATGCAACTGGTGCTGCAGAGGCTGCATTTAGCTTCACAGTGCTGTGCTTAACTTAACCCTCAGGCAACCAGGGAGGTCTGAGTTTGTTTTTTCCCCTGATTAAACCAGGAATGACAATCTGGCTTTATTTCAAAAAATGATCCCTGATCACTCTTTTTGTCGCCTCAGACATGGGGTACAAAATAGATGTAAATGTAGAAAGGGGTGTAAGGACAGGATGAAGGACAACACAAGGTAAGTATCTACCGGAGTAATACAAATGAGTGATTGGCAGCTTGAAGCAAGTGTTGATGGAGAAATTCTGACATTTTAAAATAAAAGCTGGCAGGATTTGCTGATGCAGATTTTCAGCAAATGAAATGATCGAAGAGGGGTTTCAAGTCTGTGAATGTGAAGAACCATTGTATGAAGTGGTAACCAATGCCAGGGGAAAAAGCCTAAGTGAGCATTTAGGGGGATCATATCAGGATTCAGTTTGGCATATATGTTTGAGATTCCTACTAGCCTCATAGGTGATTTGAATTGAGAATTGTATATTTTTAGTCTGAAGTTCCAGGGAGAAATCTAAGATGTATTTGTAGATGTTGACTAATTAACATGTAGCTGATATTTAAAGGCAAAAGACTGAAGGCATCCCTAGTGTAAAAGGAAAAATGAAAGATAAGAAGGTAGAATGGATTGAAAGACACTCCAATATTTAGAAAGTATGGAAAATATGTGTTTTATGTCATATGGAAACAAGAGCTAGGTTGTGAACCTGAATTATTTTTTATTACCTCATGTACAAATGCATACACAAAAATGGTCTAGAAGATATAGATTCAATTTTCATATATATTATTTTAGTGGTACAATTACTGTCAGTATAACTTCTTTCATTTTTCATTTTGATGACTTGTCATTTTTTATAATGTAACACTTTCAGAACAATAATAACTTTTTTCTTAAAAGTTCCAGCCTTTAATCAAGTTCTATGATTTGTTTTTATGTACATAAAAACATCACCACATTCTTAGAATAAACATTGCCTGTTCCTCATAAACAGAGAAACCTGAAGGCCAGAAGTTATCTCTGACTAACACATTAAGAAACACTGATAAATCTTCATTTCACAATATGAAGTTAAATATTTATCATCACATTTGTCAATTCTTAGTTGCGTGTGTCTAGTAAGCTATACATCAAGGAAGGATTTAAAGTTATAATTAGAAAAGGCAGAAAAACAAGAATTCCTTTGTAGATTAGTTGAGAGCTACTGGTCTCTAGAGGAGAGAGGAATTTAAGCTTCCCAATTACAGATGTCAACAATTACTGACTTTGTTCAACAATTACAGACTTTAAGTTTCAAACATGCTATTTCAATCATCAGGTCCCTATATTTGTACATTAAGTATAAAAATAATTTAGCTTGGGGCCTCCTTGATGGCCTAGTGGGTTAGTCTCAACATTTCCACCTAGCAGGCAGTCCTGGGCAAAGTGGCCTGAGTTTGACCCCAGGCCAGGGAGCTGACCCATATGGCACAGCAGACCTCTTCTGTCTCACTCACTGCTCCCCTCACTAGTGTATTTCAGTAGATCTGCCTGTTCTGCTCGCCACTCTGTTTCTGATGGATCCTCTCACCCCAACACCTCTGGCCTATACCCCAGCTCTTCTATGCAAAAATAAATTTTAAAAAATCTTACCAAAAATCAAAAATAAACTTTTAGTATTGATTTACATATGAGAAAGTACTTATAAATTGAGAAAAACTTAATGTCATTTTACTTAAAAATAAATAATTGTGAAGTATGAATATTCATGCACACACCCACACACAATAATTTCATTAATAAAGTTTTCCTATATAAGTCTGACAGTAACTACACACACTGTCAGATGAATATTTCAGTAGGAATGAACAAAATGCAATGATTTCTGTATCATTATAGGCAGTTTCTAGTGTATAGTTTTAAAAAATTGTTAAAAATAAAATAGGTAAAATTAGAAGATGCTTCCTTATTAGCCATGCTCCCTGCTTTTTAAAAGATTAGCACTTAAATTTTGTGTGTGCTCATGTGGAGGAGCATGATAATGCACAATCTTGTATATTTTTAATATAATTTTTAGAAAGAACATGTAGAAAACACAAATACCTTCATTCACACAATCTGATGGAGCATTTTTTTTACGTGTTTCAAGTTCTTGATTGTTCTGTTGCTGAGAGGGATGCTGGAATCGCAAATCTGAATAAACAACTTCACTCATTACTGAAATGTAGAAAGATGATAAAATGACAGGAAAAACATATTCTCAATAAGTGTCAGTTGTGAAATTAGTAAGTAAAATTAGTGTTGGATAAACCAGTATTAGGAATGAATACAAAGACCTAGGAATTTAGATATAATATTAGACATGAAAATATTTATGGAAGGAAAAAATATGCTTTTTTTTCAATTCATAAGCTGCTATGATATATCTTTTTTAGACTCTTTAATGTTCTCTATTCACAAGAATAACCTATGGAAAATTATAAATCTTTATAAATGATAAACATGTCACTCACTGATTAGTAAAAGTGCAACAGGTGATCTGTTTCGGTGCTGATAACCACGGAATCAGTTTGTCTGCACAGCCTGCACCCAGGTCCCTCCACACCTTCCCTGCTCCTGCCTCCTTCTCAATCTCCCCTTTGCTGCCATCTTCCCCCATTTTCCCCATAATTCCAGTGATACACTTCTTCTTTGTCAATATATTTCTCCAACCTGTATATTTTATTCCAAGTCTTCTTTATCAAGTGTTTTCCTCCTATTTTTATTCATTATAATTTTAGTGTATTTGATTTATAAATAAAATTCCACCACCTAAAATAAAACTTGCAGATTCTTTAGCACAAATCTTTTCCAATTTTTCTCTTTATCCATTAATTGTCATCATTCTATCAAATATCTTTCCTCATCTTGTTATTAAGTTCTCCCCATTATATTATGAAGTCCTTGATCTATTTTGCTAATCTTTATTTTGTCAAAATTATTCCTTGGGGCCTCCCTGGAGGCTCAAGGGTTTAAGATGCAATGTATAAAGCAATCCACAACCTCTGCAGCAGTGTCGATTCCGTGGCCTGCCAAGGAGCAACCCACATGGAGAGCAGACCTCTCCTGACTTGCCCTCTGTTCCCTTCAGCAGAGTATTTCAGTCAGTCTGCCAATTCTGTTCCCCACTCTGTCTCTGGTGAATCCTCGCAACCCCCGCACCTCTGGCCAGTACCCCAGCTCTTGTGTGCATAAATATAAATATTCAAAAAATATTTCTTCATGTGGCATCAAAAAAAGTTACAATTAATCTTAAAAGATAATATATTATATACTAAATTAAGCCCAGCTATGATGAAATCTGGAAAAACATTTTCCTCATTATAACTTTTTAGAAAATTTGAAAGGAATAGATGTGAGATTTTTTTATTCTCAGCTAGAAGATAATAAACCCAAGTTCCCATAATCAAAAGAAATATCCTACAGAAGATTAATTATGATTTATCCTATTGAATTTTGAATTTCCTTATTTGCTTTCTTTAAGCACATATTCCATATAACTTAACAAATCCTAAGTGCCATAAAATGTTACAGCAAATAATAAGTGAAATAATAAAGTGATTAAAATAAATAATATTTAAAATAGGTGCTTTAAAGTCTCTTAAACACACCTGCTATCCTTCCTAGCATGACCTTTCCTACTCTGTGACCCATAGTTTTATTTCTTCTTCTTCCAAATCACATCTACACACACATAAAAACCCATATAAAGGCTTAAAAATTCAGTGTACCAAAGTATTATTGTGAGAAAAAAATATATAAATATATATGAATATTGAATAAACAATCTATCTTTGACTATATACCTTCAGTTTCTTTCAGCCTCATTTTCCCCAAAATTCTGAACAAATACTTGTTGAGAAATAGAATGAATAGCGAGGAAATTATGATTACCTGATGTTTAGAAGAAAATGTCTGATCTTTTGAAGCGTCCGTCTTTATATCCTAAGAAGAAGCAGATGCAAAGTCTTATTAAAGATGTTGGAATTTAAAATTTTTGAGAGTGCATAGTATGAGACTACAGACTAGAACAGAAGATAAGAGAGAAATGAAATGCACAGGCTAATAATGCCTTTGACTGTCCCATGAAACATTCTGATAGGTGAGCACAGAGGTCAAGAATAAGAGAGCTCTGGGTGCAACAACACAGGAAACTCTTAGTGCTGCTCAGTTTAGTTCTGCATCATCATCTAGATTGGATCTTTCTTCAGTCTTAAGGAACACAAGATACCCAACATATTTGCATAATGGCAGTCCCTTTCCCTCAGTCTTTGTAATGTCACAGATATAATTGAATTATCATTTACTGTTACAGAATTTGTATCATTATTTTTATTAATTTCAGTGTAATTTATGACATTCTAAATTCAATAGTAGCCTACATATACTCTTTCTGGCATTTTTGTGATGTCTCTTGGTCACCCTTTCAGTCTAGGCAGGTGCTGGATGTCATCACTAGGTGGTGCATGCGCTGCCTGTCTCAGTCCCTCAGCATTTCTGTCAATGGACATCATGCCTCAAGAAACAGTCCTACCAACCATGTACAACCAACTAACAGAAAAATACTACTCAATGCTTTTTCACATTCATATCAAATATAATATTTCAAAATTATTTTATTATTTGTGTGATAGAAAACATTTCAAGCATTTTGATCATTCTACCATTTCTTCAGCTTATGTTAGTTTAAAATTGTATTCATCACTTGAAATGCAAATTAAAACTACAAGGAGATACCATCTTAATCCAGTGAGTATGGCACATATTAAAAAAAAAAAAAAACTAGCAACAACAAATGTAGTCGAGGATGTGGAGAAAAAGGAACTCTCCTGCACTGCTGGTGGGAGTGCAAACTGGTCCAACCACTATGGAAAGCTGTGTGGAGATTCCTCAATCTGCTAAAAAATGAGCTGCCATATGATACAAGAATTCCACTCCTAGGTATCTACTCAAAGGACACAAAAACATTAATTCAAAAGGACACCTGTACCCCTATATTTATTGCAGCACTCTTTACAATAGGTAAAACCTGGAATCAACACAAATGCACAAATATAGATGACTGGATCAGGAAAATGTGGTGCATATACATGATGGAATATTACTCAGCAATCAAAAAGATAAAATCATGCCATTTGCAGCAACATGGATGGAGCTGGAAGGGATCAGGCTCAGTGAAATAAGCCAGAAAGATAAAGAAAAATACCTGATGGTCTCACTCATAGCAGGAATTTAGAAGACCCAAATAAAGGATCAGCAAAAAAGACTAATTATCATAAAGTAAAACTCAAAATCAACAAGAAACTATAAACCAGAGACACACTTCCGTGGGGGAGAAGGGAGTAGGATCAAAACAAGGGTGGTGGGAATTTTACAGGGACTATAACCAAGATGAAAATGCATACATTGTACAAAAATGAAAAATGTTCTAAAAATATATAAAATAAAAAAATAAAAATGTAAAAGCATTAGCCTGGGAGGCATACAAATTCCAAGAGAGGGCAACTAGTGTTTAATACAGGTATGATGTGTTTATAAAATCTATATTTTATGCTCTCTTATACCCTTTTGTATGTGTTTGATATTGTTTATGAAAAGAACTTTAAAAGACAAAAAAATTGTATTCAATTTATCTTTCCCTCTAACATCTTTAAAGATTTCAACTAACAAATCCGAGTAATTTCTTCATCAGCTGCAGGAAAATAATCATTTTTTTTAATTTTTTTAATATATTTTTTACATTGTTCTTAATTTTTGTACAATGTATGCTTTTTCATCTCAGTTATAGTCCCGGTGAAATTCCCACCATCAATTCAACCCATGTACCATCACCATAGTTTCTTGTGCTCTTTCCTCCCTTATTTTGACAATTTCATGCTACTAAGTTAACAGAAAAGATATTCACATAAATAAATAATATGTACAAAATGTTAACAACCATTTTGAAACTGCATAATAAATTTAGGGAAAAGGGTAACTATAATAAAGTGTCATTAAATATAAGGAAGTATGAGAACTCTATGAACAAATGTGATAAAATTTCAAAGGAAGTAGCATTTTTTTACCTCAAATATTTAATATCCTATTTAAATTTCACATTGAAAATAAAGTGTGGTAAATAAATATGTAATTGATAAATATAAATAATCATAAGTATTTCCTGAAATTCTGATGCTATATTTACACCAGAAGACAAAATACACAAAATTTACAGACTAGTAAAAATCAAAGTTTTTAACCTTCTAGAATGGAAGAAAGAGAAAAAAGTCCTCTGAAGCACATGCAGTGTTGTAACCAATGTTACCGCACTTTAAAAAAAGAAAGAAAACTCTAACTATAATAAGATGAAACTATTTATAAGATGCAATTATTTAATTAGTCATATTTACAAATATTGTTTAAATAGAAACAGATGGGTTGTTGCAGTATTGAATCTATTAGACCAATATTTGAAAATTATATCTAACATTTATTCTCTTTTGCAGAATTCTAATTTTGGGAATCAATTCAAATGCAATTTAAAAAAAAACACCTTATTCAAAGTTGTTCACTGAAAGAGATTTTGTAACTCAATGGGGAAATTAAAACTGAGTGTAGTATAATGAAAAAAGATATTAAAATAAGTAGGTCAGTATGAAATGGGTATTAACTCAATATGAAATGACAATATAAAATCATGAAAAAAATTGATCACTTAGTAAAGATATAAAATATTTATGAAGATTTTTATTTGTTGACTTAGACACTAGTGACAAGATATAATGAGAAGGTAACTGCCTCCATTCAAGCCTCCTGCAGCCAGGAAGACAGGGAGCTATCTTTCTTACATGTTTTCAAAGTTCTTTGCCAACATAAACACATAAATGTACATTACATATACACACATACTAAACATGCATAATTGCATGGGGCCTTGCTGCCCCAGCCAGGTAAGACACTGGCAAGCAGCTAAGAAAAGGGCCTCACACCGTGGGACCAAAGATTTCCAAAGAGCCTCACACCGTGGGGCTGAATATTAATCTATAACCTATAAGCATCCCCTTGCTTTTTGTTATTGGTCATATAAGAAAAAAACTCTCAGAAAATACATTGGACAATAAAGTATATGTATAAGAATATTATAAGCACATGGCACAGAGAATTACCTGCTTAAAAATTAAACACTGTAAATTTGGCCTGCCTGACAATGGGAAAGAGATTGTTATACATGAACACGCCTGACAAGCAACCCAGGACAATGGTTATAGCAAGTCCTTCTTTTGCTTGTCTTTGAAGTTTCTTAGGAAAGTTTTTAAATGAAGTTAGTTGTGTTAAGGAGTTTCTAGGTAGAAAAATTTCTGAGAGCTGAGAAGCAGCTGGTCTCTGGCTCAAGGCCGTATGAATAAGAAGAATCTTCTGATGCTTAGACTTTAACTGATAAGGGTGTACTGGCGGCTATCAACTGTTTTAGGTAATTGTCTAGCTGAAATAATGAGTTATAGTGTAAGGCTTAGTTTTTTATCTATTAACCTTGAAGGCTACTGTCTTGCTGAGACCTGCAGGAGCCAGTAGTCCATGGGAAAAGACTACACTGATTGTTTCTGCTTTGCTTCTATGCATATGATGATGTCATCTCACTGCTTGCAAAAAATGAATAAATAAAGACCTGCTGAGTCCCTCAGTAGGAGATACTTGCACCAAAAAGAAGAGTGTCTGTATCTGCTTCACTCCCTTCCTTTCAGCCCTTAAAGTTTCGCCTAGACCGTCTCATCCTTTCAGGGACTCCTGACACGACATTTTGCCGAGGCTGGTCTTCGACACATAACCAACACTGTTCATAATTTTTATAAGATTTATTTTTATGCATACAAGAATTGAGGTGCAAGCCAGAGGTGGGGGTGGAGGTTGTGAGAGGATTCACCAGAGATAGAGCAGAAAGAAGGACAGGCAGATCTACTGAAATACACTGCTGAGGGGCACAGCGGGAGAGACAGGAGAGGCCTGTTTGTGGGTTGCTCCCTGCCTGCCTAGGGACTGAACTCATGCTGCAATGGCTAGCTATAGCTTGATAGTGCTATCATTAACCCCTGTACCACCAGGGAGGCCCACTGTTTATTATTTCTAGTCATTTCTTTATGAATAAAATGTAGTATGATTTGAATATTTGCAATTTATTAAGATTTGTTTTATGGAACAGATTATGATCTAGCTCAGAAAAGATTGTGCACATTTGAAATAAAAAACAACTGTTTTTTTTTTTTTTTTTTTGGTGAAGTGTTATATTGCTGGGTAGGTTCCATAAATTTTAATTATTATATTTCTTTGGTAATATTATTAATTACTGAGACAGGGTTTTCCAAGTCCCCAAACTATACATATGTCTATGTCTTATTTCCTTTTTTGACCTGTGTCATTTTGTTTCATGGATTTTAAAGGTCTGCTATCGGATTCATGAAAGTAGGATTGTTATATCTTCTTGAAAAATTATTTTTATTAGGTAATATTCTTGTTTTTCTCTTTTCTGATTAGTAGTGTGTCTTTATTCATTCACTTCTACTGACATGCATGTATTTCTACTAAGAGTAAAAAATGGCTCTTTCTGATCCTTTTCTTAAATTTCATATCTTAAGATATTTTAATTGGACTATTTACATAATCAGTATATTTATATTTATGGATATAATTTGGGTAGCATCTGTTATTTGTCTCATCATTGTTTCTCAATTTGACAAAGATTTTACTGAACAAAGTTGAATTAAAACCTTTACATCCTCTTTTGGACCTAGGTTCTAATTTTTTTTAAGAATTTATTTATTTTTGCATAGAACTGGGGTGTAGGCCAAAGGTGCAGGAGGTGAGAGGATTCACCTGAGACACAGGGGGGAGCAAAACAGGCAGATCTACAGAAATACACTGCTGAGGGGAGTAGCGGGTGAGTCAGGAGAGGTCTGCTGTGCCATATGTGGGTTAGCTCCCTGGGGTGGGATCAAACTCAGGCCATTGTAGTGAGCGGTTATGGAGGTAGAGCTGCGACTGAGCCCTTAGGCCACCTGGAAGGCCCAAGGGTCCTAATTTTAATTCTTGGCTTATAGAGTCCAGTTTTAGTGAGAATCCTTCTGTATCACTGGATCCAGAAGGATATATACTTGCTGGGAGATATATACTTGCTCGGAGTATATATACTAATTAAGAAAAGAGAAAAGTATATTCACATTAAATGAAAATTTATTTCATAAATAAATTCAAATAAGGAAAAGTTATAGGCCTTTATTAAAAATAATGATGTTGAAAATTTAGACATAATTCTATAGTTGTTTAAGCTTAGCTTAGTTTAAATTTTTATTCACTTTACACTCTCCTTTAACATTTTCAAAGATTTTTAAACTAATTAATATGGGTCATTTCTTCATCAACTGTAGGACAATATATATATTTTAAGCTACTAAGTAAATGGAAAATATATTCAGAAAATAATGTATGCAAATGTCAATAACCCTTATAAAATTGCATAATCAATTTAGAAAAATACTAAGTAAGTGAGAAAACTATAAATAAATGTGATAAAATAAATTTCAAGGAAGAAATTTTCACCTCAAATATTTAACTTCCATTCAATTTTTAAATTAATTATTGAAAATGAACTGGTATGAGGCCTCCTTGCTGGCTCACGGGTTAAGTCCCAGTGCTATCACACTGTAGCCAGCCACTGAGGCATGAGTTCAATCCCAGGCATGGGAGATACCCACATGGCGCAACAGAATTCTCCTGACTCTCCTGCTGCTCCCCTCAGCAGTGTATTTCAGTCACTGTGCCTGTTCTGCTCCCCACTCTGTCTCTGGTGAATCCTTTCAACCCTCGGCACTTATGGCCTACACCCCAGCTCTTGCATGCATATATAAATAAATCTTAAATAAAATTAGTTTTAAGTGCTTAAACTAAGTGGACCAAGCAGAGACATAAATTTATCAACAACTATATATTTGCTTTAAAGTTTATATATTTATTACAGTAAGATAAAAAATAGACATTAATGCAATTCACTGACTGGTAGAAGTAGAGAAATAAGAATGAATATTTAAAATGTAAAAGGTTTGTGTGTCAGAATAGACTTGAATTTTTCCATATTAAACTGTTAAGTGAGCTAGATGTTTCTTACAAATATAATGGGTTTCATTTTATAACTTTCCCCCTTCCCTACACTGTACAGGGTGATGACAATAATTCGAGAAAGAAAGAATATGTGTGTGTGTGTGTGCGACCACTCATACTGCTATCAAATACATGCAAGACTGAAATCTGTATAACACAAAAAGATTTTCATCCTTTGAGCTGACTGGTATAAATTGTTATTATTTTTGTTTTGTTTCTCTTCATTTCACATCCCAAGCTTGACCTTCAGTGCAGGTCTATGAAAAGTGAATAGCTGATGTCATATCTAAGGTTCAGCTCAAAGAAAAAACAAAAAGGAAATACACCCACAAAACTCTCAGACACTTAACAAATTATAGAAATAAACAAATTAGCTCCACAATTTGGTGCTGAGTGAGTCTGACCCATTAAAAAGTTAGTTGGGATTTTCTAAATCCCTGTTTGGAAATAGAGTTAACCATTATAAAATGAATCTGAACCCTGCAGCCCAGAGACACAAAGATTCACATACTTATTGCTGCTTAGGTGACTCAGGACACCTGGTATTGTGAGTTAACTAAATACCTGCCATTGAAACTCAAGCTCCAAATTTTCTTTTAATAAGAAAATAATCCTGGGCCTCCCCGCTTGAGCGCTGAGTTGAGAAGCTGCCCACGGCATCTGTGGCGCCAGTTCGATCCCTGGCTGCTCCCTGGCCACCGGGGGAGGGTCCCACATGGCGCGCAGACCTCTCCTGCCAGCCCCTGCTCCCCTCAGCAGTGTACTTCGGTCCTTCTGCCTGCTCTGCTCCCCGCTCTGACTTGGTGAATTCTCTCACCCTCCCGTGCTTCTGACTGTACCCAGTGCTTGTATAAAAAAATAAATAAATCTTAAAAAAAAAAAAAAAAAGAATCCTGACATTTATCTTTCTAGTTTATTCTTGATTGTGTGTGTGTGTGTGTGTATGTGTGTCAATTTGCTTATGGAGTGTATACACCTAAGGAGATTTCAGAGCAGAAATATGATGCACAGTGTTTCCTTCCCAAGTTAGTAGAGCTCCCATCTCCTGACACCAGAAAACAATGGAACTTTATGGGGAAAGTTCTGGCTTTTCCTGTAGCTGGGAGAGTCAGGGGAGCATGAACGAGTACAGTGGAATCTTCTTTCCTTAAAGGACTAAATGAATTTTTATAGTCAGACTTCTAAGATGGTTCTGCTTGATATTTCAGAAGTGTGAAAAACAAGTACATAATTCTACTTTATTTTATTTTTAAAGATGTATTTATTTATGCATGCAAGAACTGGGGTACAGGCTAGAGGTGTGGGGAGTGAGAGGATTCACCAGAGACAGAGTGGGGAAGAGAATAGGTGGATTTACTGAAATACACTGCCTAGGGGAGCAGCAAGCGAGACAGGAGAGGTCAGCTGTGCCATGTGGGTTGCTCCCTGGCCACCGGGATCGAAATCATGCTGCAGTGGCTGCAGATAGCTTTGTAGGTTGCATCTTAACCCCTTGTGCCACCAGGGAGGCCACTACATAATTTTTAATCAAGTGATAGAATTCACTTAAAATTATTAGATTCAAATAATCCTAAGTAGTTGTTAAATAAAACAATTGATAAAATGACATTTTACTACATATTAAAATCAAGTGTTAGAATTATGATGCTTTTGTTCATTTTTAGTCACCTAAGACACAAAATATGAATCTATTCGGTAATTTCAATGATGTATCACATGTTAAGAACATTGAATATGAATTTTAGTCATATATGCAGAAACATGTTTCTTTTTTGCAGAAATAGATGTCTGTATTTATCTTTATTAATGAACTATTTTACTATAAATTTCCCTAAATGTTTTATATACTAAGTAAAAACTTGAACTTTTAAAAATTATATAATTTGACATGGTACATTATGTTACAGATTTAGTGCACTACACTGTTGTCTTAAATAGGCTATCATGTACATTGGCAATTTTAACTGACAGATACAAGTTCAATCAGGAGTAATAACCATAGACATGACACAGGAAAGTTTCCTTTTACAAGGTGTTAAAAGCAACAAGACAATAGTTTCCATTAACAGAAATAGAGAGATAAATATTACAACCAAAGTGACAATTCTGCTTCATATTCCACAACAGCTTATTCAAACTTCAATGAAAAATATAAAACAATCTGAAAATTTTGATATGTTCAAAACTTTCTTGGCCCTTGACATACCCAGATGTCTAGTTTTATAAAGTGATATATCTGCATGGAAAAGAAGCATCCAAACATTAGTGACTTTATTAGCAACATATATTTTGCATAAATTGGCATTCTCTAATTGAGTGCAGTAGGGCAAGATTAATAAAATCAGCAAGAAAACATATCACTTTCACTTGTTTCAAAATTTCATACTTCAGTCTTTAATACATATCTTTTCTCACTAATTGTCCGGTCACATGGACTGAAGCAGGAACCTCATGTGGGAGCTGAAAGGAACTTGTTTGCACTGTGGCTTGTCCACCCCTCATAGCTGGAAATAGTCTCTCTGTGGTGAGCTGTTGGGTGGAACTGGGTTCTCACCTTTTTTTTTTTTTTTTTTTTTGGTGGGACCCTCGCTGGCGGTTGGGGAACTAACCGGCACTGCAGAGGCTGCGGGCAGCCTCGCAGTCCAGCGCTCAACCGCTGCACCACCAGGGGAGGCCCTGGGTTCTCACTTTTATTGAACACACGGAAGGTGACAAGTTGATCACTTCTTGACATGTAAAACTCAGGTTTACTAAGTATCATTGAAAGGGCCCTGAGCCTCTTTCTTGACCTTAGGCAAAAAACATTGCAATGTTCTATGGTCAGTAGCTGTTAATAAAATTTAGGTCTAAAGACAAGACTGAGGAGTAAAAGGTCTCAAGAATTATAAGACACAACGTTTCCTCAACAGGACAGTATTCAGAGCAGTAAAGGTCTGTAGCCTACAGAGCTCCCTAACTCTTGTATTAGATTCTCATTCAATGAGGGTTGATCAATTTATACTTTCCCAAGCTGCCAAAAGATAGGGAAGTAGTTGATGGATGGATGGATGGATAGATAGATAGATAGATAGATAGATAGATAAAGTATGATAATGTTTTAACAATTTTGCATTGAGTAATCTCGGTAAAGGATATACATCAATCTGTTATGCTACTTTTTCAGGCATGCTTAAATCTGAAATTATGTCAAAAATAAAGTCACACATTAAGCCTTTTTCTCTTACATACTACATTTAATATAGCATTAAATATGATTTGTATACATTTTTGTATATACATGTGTGTCTGTGTGTGCAAGTGTATGTGTAGATCAGTCATCATTACTGATCACCACATTACTATGAGGCCTACAACTTTGACAAACTGAAAAAAAAACTTGATTGTTTCATAAATACTTCAGCTTTTAAATGTGTGCTATCAATTAATTTTATCCAAAAAAATAGAAATTTCATTTTCATAGTTATTTCAGAGGAGTCTTGCTTCTTCCGTGTCTACAGCAATGGTCTGTGGCCCCAGGTCACCTGGTGTCTGACAGCCCCATGTGTGACTGTGAAGGAGGAGGAGCTTCTTTCTGTCCTGGGTCAGATTGGGGACTTTAAAGATTGAGAGTAACCTGAAGATATTAGTCTTTCTCACAGTCTTCAAGTTGTGTCTTTTCCGAGATTGTATCATACTATTTGCACCTTCTCCTCCAGATCTGCTTCCAGCCACCCAATCTTCACTGCAGCCAAGGCCTTTGCACTTGGTGCTTGTCGTTCACTCAGACTCTTACTTCTGGATTCTAGGCATCTACCTTAACAAAATTATTCATTTCTCAAATCTCTCCGTCAGTATAAGCATATTGGAAATGTCTTAATTAATCATTCCATCTAGGCCAAATCTTTGTTATACTCTAATTATTCTTTTCCCCCATTTGTAAGAATTTATTTTATTTGCATTTTGTGTCATTAATGTTGTTACTGATGTCCAGTTTCCCTGTGATATAGGAGCCCCATGAAAGCAGACAAAAGCCTTTAATTTACTCAAGTGTGCATCTCCAGGGCCAAAAGCTCAGTGTGACCAAGGGCGGGATAATTCCATGTTTGTGAATCAAGTAAATTCTGTTCATTTGTTCCAATCCTCTGGACTATGTATTTTCAAACTGTTTGTACCTTGTGTGGATAGTAAAAGTTAAATGGCAACTACTATTATACAATTATATTTTAGCATTATGTTATCTTCTCAAAAATATTTTGGTTGATTTTATCAGGTAATTTTACCTTCTTACCCTGACTATCCGCCATCCCCATAGATGACCATCATAAGACAAAGAATGACTGGATTGTATATGACATCCCATCATGAGTGTGTGATTACAGCAACAAGATTCACTTTGAAAGTACTGGAAGACATGAGAATCTTAAAAATATTTAATGCCTTGCCCAGCCTGCAGGGTTTTATTTAATATTTCTGTACCAATAAAGTTCCTTTGCATTCCTTAGATTACTTGTAATATTTCCTAAGTTACTGATAGCTGTTTGTTATAATTTTTTCTTTTAGATATGATGAATTTAAAGAATAATACATGGACACCAATGCATAATGACATTGATTTTTACCAAAATCAATAGTTCACATAGCTGAAGTCATCGTCATGAAAATCTTAGATGTTCTTGCTTTTCTTTCTCATATATTTATCAGTTTTAAATATGTTGTCTTCCGACAGATACAATAGCTACTTAGCTGGCAATCTTCAGCATCCAACTCACCATATTTTATATGCATGCATTTATTTAAAAAATTCTTATATCTGGGAATTTTTATCCTAGAAGAGAAAATAATTTCCATTAAATTCTGAATTCACTTTATATAACATTTGTAATTTTATGAACAGTAATTGTTTTTAAGATTTATTTTTTATTTATACAATAGCTGGGGCACAGGCCAGAGGCGTGGGAGAGTGTGAGGATTCACCAGAGCCAGAGTGGGGAGCAGAACAGGCAGACAGACCGAAAGCACTGCTGAGGAGAGCAGCAGGCATGACAGGAGAGGTCTGTCACACCATATGAGAATCTCCCTGGCCAGCCAGGGATTGAACACGTGCTACAGAGGCTGCAGACAGCTTACAGCGCTGTGCTCAACCCGCTGAACCACCAAGGAGGCCCATGAACAGCAATATTTTGATACAATTATTAAGACAGTAATGTTTTGATAAAATTAAGATAATTAATAATAATTATTATTAAATTATTAATATTTTTATAAAATTAATAAGACATTTAATTATTGAAATTAAATGATGCTTTCCTAGATGCTCAACAATACAAATAATAAATGTATTCTGTCATTCAAAATTAAATTTAAATCTGGAATTGGTATGGTAGTAATGTCTTTATTTCTGACTAATCTCCATGACCTCAGGCATATTTAAATTATCTTCTATTTCCCCTAAGGTTTACAAATTGCATTTACACAGTAGCATTTTGATAAACACAAACATACTCTACTGTTTTAATAGTACAAAAAAAAACTGCTGTTAATCATCAATAATAATTGATTCTCTTCTGACAAAGTTTAGCTTGCTTTTTCAAGAGTAAAGATCAGAATCCTCATATGAGTAAATAGAGGCAATTATTTCAAATGCTCAAATATTTAAATATATTAATGGGAATCAAAGTAATCAGGGAAATTCTCATGAAAATATAGTATCATTTCTAAAGGGGGCATGTGATTACACTATGCAAGTGCAGCATTGGGAATGAAGATGCATGACAGAAGTACAGGTAAATGTGAAGTTTTAATTAAACACACAGCCCTTATTGGAAAAAATCATCTTTTTAAGTGTGAGAATAATGGAAGGAAATCAGCATATTATATTCATGATACTTCAGAAGAGAAATTATATATTTAAGTTAGATTTCTACATTTGAAGATTTATTTGACATATATTTATTCCTATTTGAGGGAAGAATAGTAAGAAGGAACAAATGTAAGATGACATCACCACATTAAACTGTGGCAGTGAAGAAGGGGAAACCAGGGTATTGACATTTCAGTTTTGCCCAGAGTCTTACTAAACTGATTTTACAAATGTAGTGATCAACCTAATCACATTGGGAATCACATATAAGAAATCAAACAGGGAATCATATAGAGAGGAGATTACAGTAAATAAAATGAAAAATCGAAGGATAGGAATTTGGACTACAAAGTGTCAACTACAAAACACAAAATATAAAACTGAAAGAAGGAGATGAACTTTAAATAATAAATATAATGAATCAAATTCTTAGTTTGTAAAGGATAGAATGGAAAATTGCATTTATTTTATATTGTTTGCTACAAACATTTTTTGTAATGTGTGCATTTTAACGGGGGTTATAATTAAAATGGGAATTGTAGATTAGAGATACATACTTTTGAAAAACATTGCTCCGTTGAGTAGCATATTAAAAAAATAAATAAATAAATGATTTTTATTGTGCAATAGTCACTAAGATTTGGCAATGTGTTTATAATACTGATCTTTCTCATTATAAATCAGGAAATGTCTGCAATAAAGTACAGTATGGGTTGGATACATGGGCACCTAACACCAAGATATTGGTTAGGCGAATATTCAGTAGGATTAATTTATGTTAAAACAAATTGATGTTCATTGTCAATAACAACTAAGTTTGTCCCTAGAAATTTTCAGCTAACTCCTTCAAGAGAAAGGAACTTCCAGTGGAACCAAATCAATCAATACTTTGACTTCATATTTCTGCTTTCTGAACTATGAGAGAATAAACTTCTGTTCCTTGAAGCCACCCACTTTGTGGCTTATAACAAATATAAATGCAAACATAGCTTGTGGAAAACACTGAGTGAAACACAGAGAGGGAGAAAATTGCCTCAAAAATTTCCTTGTGAGCACATGTATTGGAGTCAAAAAAAACATTAACATTAAATTGATACCTCTTAAAATTTGCACATTTATTCAATTACATTTTATAATACATTGCAAAATGTCAATACTTCATTCATAAAACTAATGAACAATCTAAATGAGTTATGAAACTTAAATATACAGCCTAGTACAGCAATTGTTTACATATTTCCAGTTATCCTGTCTTTTCCTGGTGGATTTATTATGTCTGCATCTGTTTTTTAATGTAACTCTGCTCCACATGCACAGTAAGTATTGAGATTTGGAAGAAAATAAGAGCATTCTGCTCTGGAATTTTAAAACAGCAGGAGACTTACTTGTCCAGGGTAAAAGGTGTGCCATCGAGCCAAACCCATTTCATTCTCTCGCTGTCGTAGTACAAGCTGATGAAAAACATCTTTTGACTCATTCCACACTGCAGCTTTGACAAGTGCAATAAAAAATTCTGCAGAGAGAGTAAAATAAATCAGAAAGTAGAACTTTGCTTGAGAAATAGGAGTATAAGTGTGTTTAAATACCTTTCGTTCATTGATCAATTTCCCTTTAAACTCTCTGTAATTATGTGCAAAGAAACAGAGAGATAAGCCTTAGTTTACATAGAAATAATTGATTGTTGACTGCTGATTACTCCTTTATTCATGAA